TTTTTCCCCCCCCCCCCCCCCCCCTTCTTCCTACTCACAAAAATTGTGACAGCAATGATTCCAGACAACCTAGCATCATCACCAGTCTCATCACAACCACAACCACAACCACTTATTCAATCACCAAAGCAAAACGAGTTACTGATGTTCTTTTTTTGTTGTTGTTTTATTTTTCAGTTGCACAATGGGAGTGAATCCACTTGTCCTTGTCGGCACAGCAGTTCTGGGCATTGGCGTGCTCCTCCACATCGTTGGCATGGCCACGCCCGTATGGTCCGTGTCCATTGTTAGTGACGACTATAGCGTAGGGCCTTTCAAGTCCTGCCTTTTAACAATGCTCGGGCAAAAATGCAGTACCAACGAAAATGTACCTTGTGAGTCATTTCTTTGGAGTTACTCCGTGTACTGTTTTTCTTTCTGTAATGTTGAAGGGGTGCTAGAGTTTTGTAACCCCAAAGTTAACAAAGCAACCTTGTTTTATTATCTGCTTTCAAACGGAGAAGCGGATATCAGTAGTATTTCAGTAAGTGAGGACAATATCATTTGGGGGGGGGGGGGGGAGACATCATAATAGATGCACGACGAGAGGTGTAAAGGAAAAACTGTAAACGTGAGGTTTATCATCATCATCATCATCATCATCATCATCATCATCATCATCATCATCATCATCATCATCATCATCATTATCCTTTTCCCACGTGTCTATGTTCTAAATGAGCTAGGTAGTGACAATTGGTTTGTTTTTTTAGTTTTTATTTTCTTTTTTTTTGGGGGGGGAAGGGGCATTATGTTAAACATTGAGTCACAACGCGGTGGAATCATCCGCTCGTCCATTTGTTGGGCATGGGGAGCTATTGGTATCATCTTAAAGCTAGTTCATTTTTTTTCAATTAAAGCATTGCCTATCTTGAAAAGAACTCCAGACATTTGCAATTGTAGGGAGTGGGGGTGGCCTGGTTTCAGAGTAAGATTGGCGAGAAAACGTCAGCCAAAGTTTGGTGACTTCCAAAGCTTCAGAGTCCTTGAACACTGTTCACCAACTTTTGTTGCCTTTGATCATCGTTTTTCAGTCAAAAGCACACATACATGTGTTTTTAAAAGGACATTTAAGGTGTTGAGTCAATAAAAGAAACTGTAAACAAAAATGTCCAATGGCCATAACACTGCAGATGTCTGTGATTTCATTATTTTGAAGAGCGTCTGTTTTCACCTCGATGCCTCACATAATTTGACAAATCAAAGATGCCTACGTTTTTTATGTTGACTCAGCCGAATACAAAGCTGTTCAGGCCATGACCATCATCGGAGTTCTGTTTGGCGGAGTGGCGTTGGCGGTGTCGGTCCTGATCTTTGTTTTTTCGCTCATGGGCAAGAGTCAGCACAAGATGATGCCTTTGTTGGCTGTGGGTGCTAGCTTCGGATCTTGTAAGTGTGGACTTTGGGGCTGTAGGCCACAAGCTATCTTTGTAGTATGTAGTAATACCTGTTTGTAGTTGTAGTCCTTCAGACTGGGGCTGTTAGTAGTAGTAGTAGTAGTAGTAGTAGTAGCAGTAGTAGTAGTAGTAGTAGTAGTAGTAGTAGTAGTAGTAGTAGTAGTAGTAGGATGAGGAGGAGGAGGAGGAGGAGGAGGAGGAGGAGGAGGAGGAGCCGTAGAAATAGCAGTACTAGTAGCAGCAGCAGCAGCAGCAGCAGCAAGATAAGACGAAGCTTAGGCCGGTCCCAGAGTGGCTCTGTAGGTCTGACATGTAGCTCGCCTGGCGCACGCAGTGTGCGTGTCGGCACAGCCGCACTGTGGGTTGACGTGTGTAGGTGTGCAACTGACGGGCCTGCCTTGCTATATTTAGGTACTGTGTAATCCAAGACCAATTATACCAAGACGGGACAACTCTTTTTTTCGTCATGTGCCAAGTGCACTCCCCCCCCCCCCCCCCCCACCCCCACACACACAAACACACGTGCAGCTGCGCGCCGCGATAGTTTACATTGGTAATGCAAGGCTAGAATTAGATTTAGATCTAGAATCTAGAGAAGCACACCTAGATCTAGGCCTAGGCCTAGGCCTACGACAAAGGTCGAAACTAGGTCAACCTCTCGATTCGAATTTTCAAAGTATGATAAAGTGCATTTCTGGGTGATTTTGTGGCCAAGTGTTGATGCTAGCATCAATATTTAATAGCACAGCACTTAATAAAACTTACTTCTTGTTGATTTTGATGATCTGTGAAGAGTTTTAGTC